CAAAATGTCAGACAGTGTTTGTAAACTGAAGATTGATGGGTGTGGGAGAAGCAGCTTTTCTGTAGATGGGTTTCAAAGCCAGTAGTTAGTCCTTATTTGTTTATTCATTTGCCTTTGTTAGTGATTTTGAAAATGAAGCAAACCAGATAAAAGTGACAGTAAATCATGAGGTTGAAATTGTGAAGCAAACTGAAGAATATATTCTAAGAGGTAGTTTTATAAGAACATAAATTGTTTTAAATGGGTGATCATTTGCTTGGGCCTTCCATAGGTAACACTGGATGAAGAGGCAGAAATTGCCTTAGACACAATTAGAAACAGACCTATAGTCCTTGGGTCTCAGTGCAGGAAACAGAGACCTCTACCTTTTAAAAGGCTAGGTTACCACAGTTGCATAAATGTCAACACCAAAAGGAAAAAGAAATATAGAATCCAGAGCAGAATAATGCTAAATGGTTACTGGAAATAATTTATCAAAAAGAGATTAAAGAAAGTGTGTGTAATTCTACTGAATAATGACAGAATTGGATAAATGCATTGGATATGACAAACATTTTCAAGTGTTTGAGATGGAAGTAAAGAAATTAAAAGGACAGAAAGAACAGCAAAATAAAAAGAACTAAACCTTGACTAGGTAATACTTAGACTTGATTTTAAGAAATAAATATGACCTTTCTAACAGTGGGAGCTTCATGTAGAAGTAAGAAAACATAAAATAGAAATATCATCCATTAAAAGGTGAATAATAGCCACCTCCTAGAAGATTTTGAAATTTTTATGCCAAATGGAATTTGGGGAACTATGCCAGTCATTTACCAAGATTTTTTTTTTAATTGGAAACACAAATGGTTTGTTTATTTTCTTCCTCAAGGTATCATGATGATTAAGTACAGTGTCATTGTCCGTACATATCAACAAAGAGAAAGGTATTTCCCTTCTTGCTTTAATTTTTAATTCTTGGGACTCTCAAGCTGTAAGTAGATGATCCTTTGAACATTCTGGCCTTGCCAGTCATTGATCAATTCTCTAGTGCTCTTGACTTCCAACCTATCTCAGCCACACACTCCCATAGGTAGTCTCGACCTTATCATTATCAATAGCTTAAACCTCTGGATAATCTCAGTTTTATGCATTCAGTATCAGTTCTTATCTGTGCAGCTCACTCCCTCTGGTCCATCTCCAATAATTCTTTAATCCCATTGTGATCTTCCATCCTTGATTCTACCAGCTTTTCTGCATCTTTCTACTTGCTGATCTTACTTCCCTCACTGCCTGGCTTAAATTCCATGTCCCGTTACTATAATCACTCTCTTGTCATGATCTCACCTATTTTCCCCATGCCTAGAATCTTTCCTATAGTCTATTTTTATTGTGAAGCCAGAGTGATCTTTTTAAAACTTATGTGAGATAAGTTAATTTCTTGCTAAAATACTCCAGTGGTTCCCCCCCTTTTTTTATTATAAAAAAACCTAATAGCTGAAATGGGAAAGCTAAACTTAGTATTTTCACATTAAGTCAGTCTCCTCAAATGAGAATGAATACTCTCTGCTTGGTAATTTTCTGGCAGAAGCAAATGAATAACTTTTTTTTTTTTATAGGAAGTCATTCCTAATTTAGAGCTTGGTGGTTCCCATAGATGAAGATCATTTAAATATGAACACATGTGACCATGAGTGAATGTCAGCTAAAACAATGAACAAAGATCTAGATTTCTCAAGGACTTCAGTTATTAAATTGGTAGGTATACAATATCAAATATTAAAGTATACAAAATATATATAGGGCATAAAATGAGATAATTTACAGGAGTCCTGAAAAATCCCTTAAAAGTTTTGAGAATAAAAAACAAAATTTAGCCCTAGCTGGTTTGGCTCAGGGGATAGAGTGTTGGCCTTCCGACCAAACGATCTCGGGTTTGATTCCAGTCAAGGGCACATGCCCAGGGTTGCAGGCTCCATTTCCAGTAGGGGACATGCAGAGGCAGCCAATTGATGATTCTCTCTCATCATTGATGTTTCCATCTCTCTCTCCCTCTTCCTTCCTCTCTGAAATTAATAAAAATATATTTTTAAAAAATTTAAAGATAAAAATATCATTTTAATTAGAAACAGATACTGGTAGAAAAAGAATTAATAAAATAAATGTAGATCTGAATAGATTATTACATGTCATCCAGAGAAACAAGTGGATAATATGAAAGACAGGGTAAGAGACCTGGGAGCTGGAATGAGAAGTCTAACAGACATCTAGTAGGAGTCATAAAGAGAAACTAGAGGGAATGAATGAGTTTTAATAATCAATTAACAGTTCAGAACTTCCTGGAACTGATAAGAGTGAGCAAAATTTTATCAAGTTGTAAAAATAAGAAGACATTTACTTTTAGACATAGTGTGGTGACTCTGCAATCATTGGAGACAAAAAGAAAAATCTCAATAGCAGCCAGTGAGAAGCGATCACTTGCAAAAGAATGATAAGTACCGACAGAAGAGTTTGCATCAGCAATAGCAGACACAATAAAAGCAGAAAAAAATATATCGAAAGAAAATAGCTATACACCTAGAATTGTGTATCTAGTAAATTATCTTTCAAAAATGAGGCTATAAAAAGGTTTTAGGATAAACAAAACACGTTTATTGTCATTTTATCATCTGCAAATCTTCATTAAAGGAATTTCTAAAGAAAGAATATGCTTCAAGTCGAATAAAAATGAGTCCAGGAGGGATGGTAGCAATGTAAGAAAAGATGAGAATACATGATTTACTAAACTCAAAAATAAGTTTTAAAGTATGTTGTCTGTATAAATTAATTTAAAATAATATTTAATTTATGAAGTTTAAAGAGACAGGATTGAAATACTGGGCCTGGCTACCACATCAATGAAGAGTGGGGTGGGGTTGGTCAGAGTAAAAATGTTCTAAAATTTTTATATTATTCAGGATAAGAAATTATAAAATTTATATTGCATTAAGTTAGCATGCAAGTAAAAATTTCAAGAGTGACCTTTAAGTTATAGAAATAGTATACATAACTTTTAAACTGAAAAAGGGAAGTCTAATAATAAAAAAAAACAAAATTAACTTTCAATCAGTAATAAGAAGCAATAAAAAAGGCAAGTTGATAGAAACAATCTGAGTATCATTATTTATAATAAATACAGGTTAAATATGCTAATTAAATGACAGCTTGCTATATTATTAAAAATAAAATCCATTGACATACTGTTACAAGAAATACCAGCAACATTTAAAGATCTAGAAAGGTTGAAACTAATAACATAAAAATAGGCAAATACTAACCACAATGAAAGTAGAGCAGCTGTATTAATGTTAAAAAAATAGACTTTAAGTAAAAAAAAATAAACATTATTGGGAGTAATAGGATTATCTATTTAATTATAACAATTTACACTTACCAAAAGTGTATAACTATACCATTCTTGAGTTGACCTACTAATGTAGACTCAAAATATGAGAAAAAAAAAGTATAGAGTTACAAGGATAAATGGACAAAATCCCTATTGCAGTGAAAGATTTTAACATGCTTCCCTCAATTATTAAGTCAAGTAAACACTATATTGGTAAAGATAGAGAAGAATTAAGCTTTTCATGTTCAAAAATGATACAATGGGCATCTATAGAATTCACCCTCAAAAGAGACAATACATATGATTGTCAATACATATGAGATATTTATAAATTTTACCACATATTAAGACATAAACTGAGTCACAAAAAATTTCAAAGAATTGTTATTATATAGATTATATTCTCTTTCCAGGGTGCAATTAAATTAGAGATCAATAACAAAGATAAATTAAAATCTGCACATTTTTGGAAATTAAAAACATACCATTCTTCTAACATATTCTTGGGTTAAAACGAACATCACCAATACCATGTAAAATTTATCTAGAAATGAGGGATACAATAATATTGTATACTAAATCTTATGGGAAGCAGGTGCAAACAGATTGTGAGGACCATTTATAATCTAAAATTATTACATTAAAAAAGAATAAAGGCTAAACATTAATAGGCTACATATCCAATTTAATAATCTAGACCAGTTATTCACAAACATTTAAGTGTTAAGACCACGTAGCACTCTTAGTAATTATCAAGGCCCCTAAAGAGCTTTTATTTTTAGTTTTTTCAATAATTAAATAATATTTATTAAGCCACAATCATAACACATTCATATTTAATATATTTTATGGTAATTTCAAACAATTAAAATAGAAATAAAATTAAATTAAAAAGAGCTTTTATTCATGTAATTAAAACTGTCAATATTTATAGAATTAGAAATTTTTAAGACACTTATGGACTCATTTAAAAATAATAACACATCATATATACCTTACATTTTAATAAAATATATTTTCCCAAACTAAAGAATTTAGTTGAAAACGTAGAATTGTTTTACATTATTGAAAATCTCTTTAATGTCTGACAACAGAAAAGAACTAGATTTTCACATCTGTTCCTGCATTTAACCTGTTATAAAACATTAGTTTGGTTGAAATGTACAAAAGTATCTGGCCTCACCCAGACATGTATCGAGAAAAGAAGGGTATTTTAACAGCCTTTTTACATGATTGTGAAAAATTTTTCTTTGATACTATGCCAAATCTCCACTAGTGATAATCTTTTAAAGGTTAGTTGCAATGTGGAATCTGAAACCACATCAGTGAATCTTTCATGGTCTGTTACACTGAAAGCTATCAGTATGTCTTGCACTTTAAAAGGATTTTTTACCCATGCATGATTTTGTAAGACTATGTATTGATAATCAAGAAAATATTGGTACACTAAGCTGCAAAGATCTTCTGAATGTTGACATATTTTATTACCTTATAACAGAAAAACACACTTATTAAAATCACCACTGATTTCATTTGAACAGCCTTTAAGTATTGGCAAACTGTCAAGCTCACTGACAGATACAATGCTAAATTCCAATTTTACTTGAAAGCTCAAATTTTGACATTGGTAATAAATATTTTCAGTTGTTTTCAGGCTCATTTCATTCATTTTTGGGAAAATGTCTGCCAAATATTAGAAGCTGAGTACCCATAATCTGTCTAGTTCTTTTTTAAAGTTAAAATGGTGCTCCATGATGAAAATGGCTAGTTGAGCTTGCAACTCCAACAATTACATAAGTGCTTTATGTATAAATCCCAATTCCACAGGTATATTTTAAAAATGCAACCAGGGATTAACATTTAATAAAATAATTTGTATGATTTCATTAAAGACATTATTAAATAAAATTGGCATTTATTTTTATAGCAAGAATGCATTGGTGAAAAATATAATGACCACAGCCTTGATTTGTGCTGAAGGTTCCAGCAATTTTATTCACCCTTGTTTTGCACTGTCAATTTAAGGTAACATGGTGAAAAAAGTCAAATAACCACCTAGCATTATTGTGCAAATAGGTTTTTTAAAAATATTTTTTTATTGACCTCAGAGAGGAAGGGAGAGAGAATCATTGACTGGCCGCCTCCTGCACACCCCCATCTAGGGATTGAGCCCACAACCCAGGCATGTGCCCTTGACCAGAATTGAACCTGGGACCCTTCAATCTGCAATCAGACCTCTATCCACTGAGCCAAACCAGCTAGGGCTGTGCAAATAGTTTTGACCTTACCTCCTGAAAGATTCTCAGCGACCCCACAACCTTGAAGAAATCTACAGACCAACTGTTGAGAATCAAAAAGACCAAGGTTAAATGAGCTATGTGACCCAAGAGCCAAATCTTGCACCTGTTTTTGTTAATAAAGTTTTATTGGAACATAATCATGCCTATGTACATATTGCTATGGCTCTTTTCCTGTTACAATGGTGTAAATTGAATAGTTGCAGCAGAGACTGTATGGCTTACATTATAAAACCTAAAACATTTATAATCTGGCCCTTTATAGAAAGGTTTTCCAACCCCTTAAATAAGCTATAACAATAGAATTAATCCAACAAATGTATTTGAAAGAGGTAATGAAGATCAAAAGTTAATGTAGCTTGGCTGGTGTGGCCCAGTGGTTGAGTGCTGACCCATGAACCAAGAGGTTACTGGTTAGATTCCTGGTCAGGGCACATGCCTGGGTTGTGGGCTTAATCAATCCTTAGTGGGGGATGTGCAGGAAACAGCCAATCGATGATTTTCTCTGTGATCAATATTTCTATCTCTCTATCCCTCTCTCTTCTTTTCTCTGTAAAAATCAATTTAAAAAATATTTTAAAAAAGTTAATGTAAAAAAAATAATGTAATATAAAGGATGAATAAAGACAAATGCCAATCCTTTTAGACTAATGAAATACAAAATCCTCCAACAAAGAGTCATTTTAAAAAGTAAAAGGATATTTATAATCAGCATTCATAATGATAAAAGGGGGCTAAGATATGACATATTTAAAAATAAGAGATAAATATGAATAACTGTATGTTAATAAATTTTAAACTATAAACAGAAAGGACAAATATTTTAAAAATCTGAATTTCAAAATCTGACAAAAGAAGAAATAGAAAGTCCAAATAGTACTATCATAATTAAAAAAAAAATCTGAATTAGTGGTTGAAAATCTCACCTAGAAAATAGTAGGAACAGGTGGTTTTATATACAAGTTCTGCAAAATAGTCAAAGGACATATTCTTTCAAATTTAAATTTTCCTAGAAAATTGAATAAAAAGAAACACTCTCCAATTATTAAATACAGCTAGTATTACTTAATTTAAAAATACAAGAGTAAAAATAAATGAAAAAAATACATTCTAATTCTACTCATAATCATGAGCTTGACAATCTTAAGCAACTTATTAGAAAACGACATAGTAGTGCATGAGAAACACTAATTCAGCATGACCAAGTTTAATTTGTCCCCAGAATGTATGGAAAGTTTAGCTTTAGAAGCTTAATGAATATAATTACTTTAGTAATAGATTAAAGAAGAAATATATGTAGATATAGATTAGATATAGATATAGATATATAGACATATAGACATATAGATAGATAGATAGATAGATAGATAGATAGATAAGGAATTTGATAAAATTCAATGCACATTCATGATTTAACATCCAAACAAATTCTTAGAAAACTATGAATAAAGGAAACCTTTTAGAAAAACCTATAATAAACATTGGCTCTTAATTGTCAAAAGTTAGAAGAATATGCTTTAAAATCAGAAAGCAGACAAAGGTACCCACTGTCACTAATTCTATTAAACATTTTACTGGAGGACCTAGTTAGGACAATAATAAAGTTTTTTTAATGCAATTAAATTAAAATTGGAAAAGATGAAACAGAATGCTTTTATTCTCAAATTATTTTATACATGAAAATCTATAGAGGTATTTGGAATTAAAATGAAAATTTACTAAAATGGCTGGATATACAACCAACACTTAAAAATGAATTACACATCTATATATGGGAAACAAAACAAAAATTATATATAATTTCAACAAAATATGATACCTAGAAATAAATATAATGAAACATTTAAGACCCATTTGATAAACATTTAAAATGTTAATGAAATACACAGAAGAGCTAATAAGTGGAGATGTAAACCATGATCTTGGGTAGGAAATCTTAATTTGTAAGAATTTCAGTTATTCCCAATTTTAACTATAGCTTATTGTTTTTATAAAAATCTTCAAAGGAACTTGATAAGGTGATTATAAAATTTACATGTAGAAACAAAGGCCAGAGAATTGTCAAGATTTTGTAAAGAAAAATAACAACCTAGAGTATTTTGCTATTCTGTATGTCAAGAGTATTATAAATGTACCAGAGGTCTGGTACATAAATTCATGCGCCAGTGGGGTCCCTTGGCCTGGCCTGCGGGGTTGGGCCAAAACTGGCTCTCTGACATCCCCTGAAGGGTCCCAGATTGCGAGAGGGCCCAGGCCAACCCGAGGGACCCCCCTAGTGCACAATTGGGCCAGGGAGGGATGAAGGAGGTTGGCCAAATTGGGACTCCAGGAGGACTCCAGGGTGTGTCCGGCCTTCCTCCTTCAGTCCCGATAGGCCGGACTCCAGCAACAAGCTAACCTACCTGTCGGAGCATCTGACCCCTGGTGGTCAGTGCACGTCATAGTCAGCAGTTGAGCTGCCTTAGCATATCATTACCACAGTATGCTTTGATTGGTTGAATGGATGACCAGGCACTTAGCATATTAGGCTTTTATTATATAGGATAGTATCTCAGACAGTGCACTGGCACAGGGATAATCAAATTGATCAATGCAACAGAATAGGAAAGTTAGAGACAAATCCACTTTTACATGGAAACTTGATAGAATTTTCCATAAGTGTTCACTATGACACAGGTGGCATAGCAGTTCATTGGGGGAGTATGGACCACACAGTAAATGGTACTTGGACTATTATCCATGTGGACAAAAATGAAATGTGAATCTCCACCTCCAGTAGTTCACAAAAACAAATTCCAGATGGATTAAAAATTAAATTAATAAAGTCAAGCTTTAAAACTCTTAGAAGTACTTATAATACAATTTTGTTCTACAAAAATATAACTTTGTGAGCAAGCTTACTGTTATTTGTAAAAAGTATCATAAGCAAAGTGAAAATATCAACAGAAAACTAGAAGTTCCATATACTATTGACTGGATTACCTGTCTCCCTTTTACCTCTCAAATTCATATGTTGGAGCCCTAACCCCTACTGTGGTCATATTTGGAGAGCGGGGGCTTTGGGAGCTTATCAGGGTTAGATAAGGTCATGAGGGTGGGGTCCTGATGATGGGATTAGTGCCCTCAGGAGAAGAGATCTCTCTCTCTCTCTCTCTGTCTCTCTCTCTCTCTCTCTCTCTCTCTCTCTCTCTCTCTCTTTCTCTCTCTCTCTCTCCTATGTGAGGACACAATGAGAAAGTGGATTTCTGTAAGCCAGGAGTAGTGTTCTCACCAAAAACCGACCACACTGGCACCCTGACCAGTCTTCCAGGCTCCAGAATTGTGAGGAATAATTTTTTTGTTGTTGTTTAAGCAAATCTATGGAATTTTGTTTATAACAGCCAAGCTGACTAAGACAACATATAACCAACAAAGTATTATACTGAATACACAAAGAACTCTTACAAGTCAATAAGAAAAAAAAAGTAAACCAAAGGCATATCACCAAGAGTAAATATATAAGGCAATAATTATATGAAAAAATGCTCAAACTTATTAGTAATACAAATAAGATAAGATATAATTCATATTCACTAAACTGGAAAAAATTAATGTCTAATATAAACTATAGTGAGGATGTGGCACAAGGGACATATGTTGCTTCTCATACTAACAATTGGTATGACTATTTTGAAAAACTACATTGTGAAATTAAGCTTTCTAGCACCCTGGGACCTGGCAATCCTTTGCCTAGACAAGGTGCACCTTATAGTAGAGATTCTAACCTATGTGAAATGGTAGACTAATGTGTTAAGGAGAAGCCACAAATGTGCTATTGAGGTTATATAGTGGGAACAGAGCAGCTTCCATTCTCAAGCCAGTCGCAGGTCAGTGCAGGGTCTGATATTGCCATGATGTAAAAAGATGGGGAAACTCCATCCAAGAGAACTTCGGGCATATGTGCACCAGAAGATACTTAACAAACATTCATAGCAGCTTCCTGGAAGGAGGGTGACTAAATAAACTGTGGTTAGTCAGAGAAGGGAACATTCTACAACATGGGGAATGGATGAACTCTAGCTGCATGTGTGAATTGTCAAATATACTCAAAGCTTCATACCATTTTAATAAAAGTCATTACAAATCAAAGCAAAAGATATTATTTAGAGATACACTTACGTAATGGGGACAAGAGTAGAAAGAAGTAATAAATATGAAACTCAGGTTGTTGTTACCTTTTGGGGAAAGAGATGCCAAGGATTCAATGGAACAGAACCTACACTAGAATAAACTAGCATGAAGTTAGTTTTACATGCACTTTCTTGTTCTTAAGTTGATAGTGGGTTTACTTTATTACTAGGCTTCATAACTCACAAGCTACATATGACATTTTTAATGAATTATATAAAACTAGAGGCCTGATGCACGAAAATTCACCCAAGAATAGGCCTTCCTTCCCCTAGCTGCTGGCACCGGCTTCCCTCCACCACCCGGGACCCCGGCTTCCCTCCTCTGGCTGCCAGCAGGCACGTTGGACCTGGGCTGGCTTCCCTCGGGCCTCCCGCAGGCACCCGAGACCCAGGCTGGCTCCCTCTGGCCCTGGCTTTGTCAGGAAGGACGTCTGGAATGACGTCTGGTCTAAATAACATATTAGCCTTTTATCATTATAGATGGTTAAGGTTCAATTGTGGTAAAAAAAGAAAAAAAAGGATGGAGAGGGTAGAGAAAAGGGGGAAGTGGAAGAGGTGGAAGAGGAAGAAAAGGGGGTTAAAAAGAAGAAAAATGACCTATCTCTTCAGAAGGAAGGTGAGAAAGGCAGCCATTTAAGCTCCTATTTTACAATGGGATTCCAATGTGGTTGAAGCTCACACAGGGCTGCGTTTTTAGAGTCTATTATGTAAAATCATATTATTTCTAATTTCTCTTAAGTACCATGCATGTGGCTTGGTAGTTACTTGCCAACTCTTAATAAGTTCTAAATAGTTTCTTTCATAGTGTTGGAAAGGATTACTGGTGGTTTTCTGTTTTGTTTTGTTGTTGTTGTTTTCAGAAGAGCACCAAATGAAGTCTTTGGTTTGCATTTAGGAGCCAAAGTAAATATGTTTCTAATTTTGTGCTTGCTAAATACATCTAGTTGAACCTACTTAAGTGAAATGCATATGTGATGTCATTGAACTGTACTTTATTGTTATATGAACAGGCAAAATAGAACTGTAATCTATCAGACTAATAATTTTAACATTTATATGTCTTTGTTAATTGGATGCCTCATCTAAGATTATGTTATATCCAGAAGGGACGATAGACACCTGGTATGTGCCATAAGTGTTAGCTGAGGCAAGAAAAAACAGTAAAATGGGATCTTAGATATCAATACATCCAGTGGCTTTGTGGTGTTTTTTACTGCAACCCACAGTAAGAAATGTATTTTATATCCCACTAAACACACCCACACACACACCCACACACACCCACACACACCCACCCCCCCCACCCCCCACACACACACACTACACAACTGAAACAAAAGTTACACAAAAGAGTATTTACCCCTAGTACATGCACTCTGATGGTTTCTATTCTAGTTTACTTCATATTCTTTAAATTGCTAATTGTTACCTACTAGGTTACTCTCATGACCTGCAAAAAGGCCATGGCACACAACTTGAAAAACACTAATCTAGCTCATCCTTATATTTTATGGAGGAGGTAATTGAGCCTCGAACGGGGCTAGAGGATTATTTGGAAAAGTAGTATGTGTTCATGTGTCTAGAATAAACTAACATGAAGTTAATTTTACATGTACCTGAGTCATTGACATCTCCTTATATATTTTATCTTCGTTCCCTCTTCTCAAACACCCACAGCCTATCATTTGTCAGGTACATCACTCTGTCTAAAGAGATCAGATTAATCCAGTGAAATTTATTCTGACTAAGCCATGCTGAGAAATAGCTAGCATCTTCTCCTTGTTTGCAAATCAATCTCTTGACGACTTTCCAAATTTTTCCCAGGTACTAAAGTTAAATGTACATAGCTATCTTTTTTTAAATGCTGTGATAAAACAACTAGCTACACAAAGCAGGTTCTGGATCTGTGATTTTGCACATTTATTTTATTACCTAAGCCAGAATTGAAAAATGCTTTGATGCCCAAACAAGAGTTTGTGTTCGTGTTCTCTGATGAAGCCCATAACATATTGGCAAAATATCAGTTAACAGAAAAGAAGTATTAAGCTCAGTTTTGATATATGTATATTTTACTTCCCACATGCATCTTCCCAGATTTTTGTCTAGATGGTTAGATTAATAGTTCACCACTCTTTCTAAAGAATATTTAAAATACACCAGTCTATGCTTAGCTTCAGAGGTGATTTTTAGTTTAAATCTCTAGGTGAATTGAAATAACTCACAGGTGGGTTCCTTTATTGTCACTGTTCTCGTTATCATGATTATTATCAGCAATTTTACTGTTATTTTAAATCAAATAGAGATTAATTATTTGCTTTCCAACAACTTAGAGGAGTCCCGAGCGAATGTGTGTTTTGTCACATATTAGGCAGGAAAATGTTCACTGAAGCCCTGCAGGGCACCTGGCGTCCACTGGTCCAGAGCAAAGGCGTATTATTGTTCTTCAACACGCGTGCATCAGCTGGAACGGCCCCTTCTAAGGGAAACAGTGTGTGACTGGAAAATCTCTCAAAGGTATGTCCATTGGCTCCTGAGGTAGGTATTTTTCCAGGGCTGGTACTGTGTTATCATTTCTATATCCTGTAAAATGACATGATGCTTTCCACTTAGTAAATGCTCAATAAAAGTGTATTTGATTTTGCAAGACAAGCTGAGAATATTGTCCTGGTAAAGATCTTGGGAACCTCAAACGCTAGAGTTCCTCACTCCCTAGGTAAGAAAATGGGGTGGGGGAGGGGGACATCAGATTTCTCTTCCAGGTCTTGTGGTGCTAACTGTTAGAGCTCAGAAAGAGGAGCTCTCTTTTCTAAGTTGTGTTACCTCTTAAATCTGGGTTCTTTCCATGTGCTCAAAGGGACTCAGAAAAAGCAAATGAAGTCTTTCTTCTAATTATTCATTGTCTCTCATTAGTTTTAACAATAAATCTTGAAACCTCTTGATCTGTACATAGCAAGACCACTCCCTGCCCCCCCAGAGATCCTACCTAATCTTAAACCTTCATAAACCATTCCTTCTCTCTTCCAATAAATTACTTCTACCCCACAAAAAAAATGCCAAAAAATTTAACTCTTATTAGTTATGATCTCTTTAAGAGTCAGAATATACTTAGCTTAGTCTCTAATACCTTTTTCATCTTTATCTGTCTGGTACTTATAATGGTTTAACATGGTGGGCAGATACCTGACTAAAACCCTCTTCACCAAATAAGCATTGATAAAGTTGCTACACTGTCCTTAACTAAGATGAGAACTTTTGTACTAACCTAATTTTAAAGTCTTTATAGAAAGCTTTGAAACAAATCTTTCCTTCCTAATCAGAAATTTAATTGATAGAAATTCTATATTCTCTGCAAATTCTCGTTAAATATACCTTTAACTATAGTATTTATGTTGTCATGTTTGAGTATTTTTGTCTCTGGAACTTTGATTTTAGAGTTAATGCAGAATAAAAGCAAAGACATCTATTAAATACTATTGTTTGCTCTAATCGAGTAGGGACACACAAGCCAGATGTTATAAACCAAGACTTACTAGTAACACTGTAAGTAAAAGAGTAAAATAAAGTTTCTAAGATGATATTTATATAAGTCAGGGAAAATAGAAAGGGGGGAGATCATCTATATAAATAAAAGCCTAAGCAACTGGATGACCAGATGACCAGACAAATAGATGACCCACCGGTAGCTATGATGTGTACTGACCACCAGGGGCAGACACTCAATGCAGGAGCTGCCCCCTGGTGGTCAGTGTCCTCCCGTAGCAGGAGTGCTGCTCAGCTGACAGACAGGTGCCAGACACCGGGCTCATGGCTAGTGAGCACAGCTGCAGCAGCGCAAGACTCTCCCTCAATACTCCCCCTGTGCACCCAAGTGGCAGTGGCAGCAGCAGGTGCAGCAGGACGGGGATGAGAGGGAGTGGCGCTGCGTCCAGCCCGCCTGGGCTCTGGCTCCTCCCTGGCCACCTGCTGCTTCGCACACTACATCGTGCTGTGCGGGATCGACATGGACAGCGGGCTGAAGCCCAATGAACTGGCGGGTATGGCTGGGCTGCTGTGGCGCGGAGGTCCACTGATCCCCAGAGGCCAGGCAGAGGCGCCCCACTGGTGCACGAATCCATGCACCGGGCCTCTAGCTTCAGATAGAAATTATAGAGAGAGACTCCAAGGTGGATAGAATAGTTTGTCTAAGAGGCTTAGGGTTTGCAGGTATCAAAGGTATTCAGAAATAGGTATGTTCTGTGTGGTGCTCTAGGGGAAAAATGGTTCCCACACAGCAAGGATCTTAGAATTGACAATAGACACCAGTGGTGGTATTTAGCAGCACTAACTAACAAACATTCTTACATTTAGCCTGCAAAACACTCCTAGGAAGGTGAGTACCATTGCTATTGCTGTCCTAGAGGTGAGGGCTTAGGCAGGGTAAGAAATTGCCAAAATCAGGTAGCAAGTAAGAGACAGAACTGTCTAACCCACTAATCTCTGGGGGAAAAAATATGCAAATGGCTTGAGTCTATTCTAAGAAATAATTCTTATGTTCTTTTCTTTCTTTCCCCTCCTCTCCTCCTTTTCTTTATTATTATCATTACTGTTATTATGTTAATGAGAATTTTAAGAGTTTGAGTATTAACTTGGTCAATAGAATTTGTATAGTGTTCTAGACACATTCCCTAATACCTAGGACCTGTTCCATTTGGGCTGGTTATCTTTCTGTCAGAGGTTCAGTATTTCCAATTTCTTGATGGAAGAAGCATCTTTTGCTGTTTGAGTTCTAAGAGTGTGGGCTCTCCTTGCCATCCATGCCTAGCAAAGACTTGCCAATTGGAGTTAAAGACTGGGGAACCAAAGGCATCCATCAAGCCACACCAAAGATCCCTCTCGAATGACGTGAGAAAAACACGTTTCCTTGCTAATCAAAAAAAATAACAAAACGAAGCCCTAAGGATGAAATAATTCCTCAGACAAAACCACTGGCTGAAATATGTACCAACACCTGGCTTTGCAAAACAGAAATATGATACTGAAAAAGAATTAGAGTCCCCTTTCAGTGAGTACATCTTGGCTACTGTTGCTAACACTCAGAGTTTTGAAACTATGAGGTTTAAAACTATATTTTGTAAAAACGCAAAATGATGGATATTTGAACCTGTCTACCTCCTCTAAGCACTTTCCCTGGAATCTGCTTTGACCTGGTCTTTTTAACTGCACTCACTGTCCATTCCACCCAGGCCACTGGCCAGGGGCTATCGTAGAGTGATCAATAAATAGAGCAGTAGGCTGTTCACCTCACGTCCCTCAGGCTGAAAAAGTGTCCTTTTGTTACAGTACATTCCTTCTGGACAGTGTACAGATGAGCAGAGAAATAAAGCCTGCAAGCATCTTGCCATGACCAAACATTAGAAATAACCAGAGGGGAAAGCAACCTAGTGGGGAGAAAAATATGGCAGCTTTTGTTCTTGCAAATTTTGAGGAATATTTCCTCTCCTAAAACGCAGGTCCGGAAAGCGCTGACTGTTTGCCCAAGTCTAAGCACACACCGCTCAAAGTGAGAGTTCCAGGGTGGGTGTTAGAGAAAGGCAGGCCCCTGCAACGATTATCTGTTTGAGCAGGTGTTGCCCAGGCACCGGTCCCGAGGACATAGTTCTCTGGTCTTTTAAGTCTGAGGTCAAACATTTCACAGACTCTGCCACACTAAGTGATTAACAAAACTAAGTTGTAGCTGGTAGACAGCTGGGTGCTTATTGCCTTGTAAGCCCTCCTGGTTTAGGCTTGTCTTTGATTATAGGAGCTGACCTTGGTTCCAGGAGAGTTGGGAAATCTGCCTGGACCGGACAAACTGCAAATAGATTGCTCGGAGTTTCCTGTTTTCATTCAGATGTGTACAAATTACCTCAACATGCCCTCCTTTTTTTTTTTCAGAAAACACTAAGGTCTGAAAGAAATTCTTGTTATATTGTTGCCACTTAGGTTTCACTGAGCCTGCAT